TTCCTGGGGGCTGGGGGCCGAAACTGAGCAAAAAATGGCCCATTTTTGCTCATTTCTGCCCTCCCCAGCCCCCAGGAACTCTCTGAAAACCTCCTATAAACTATGCATGGCCATTTTGTTGAAGGGGCGGAGTTTCAAGAGGCAAAAAATGCTGTATACAGTGTATAAGAAACACCCACATTTTCAGCCTCTTTTTTGAGGGAAAAAGGTACTCTGAAAAATATGATAGGTGCATCTTATACAGTACAGTATTTCAAAAACCAATAGAGTGTGGCCAGCTTGCTTTCTTCTTTCAATGACATGAAGAAAAATATTCTCCATGGTTTAACTATCAAATATTAGCTGTTAGCCTTCCATAAAGTTTTAAAGACTTGGCTATGCTCCCAAGCCTGGGATGCTACATCTAACAACGGCCCTGCCTCCCGCTACATTATTAACAGGCCAAATGTCTTGCTTTGTATGAACTCGAATTAGATGTTTTCATGTTTTTTAGTGTTTCATTAGTTTTTACTGTTTTTATTCTTTTAAAATGTTTACAAGATGTTTAACTGTAGTATATGTTTCTGGATTGTGAGCTGCTCAGAGTCATTTGCTGAGAAGGGTGGCTCTAGAACTCAAATCAATAAACCAATAAGAAAGACTTATCAGTGGACAGATTTCACAACTCATGTCAAGGAGATGCTACTTGTTACTGCATTCAAAATGTGCCTTAACCACACCACTAGTTAACTGGATCCAATCATCAAAAAATAAATATTTTGGCAGTTCTTATTTTAAAAAAAATAGGACATATAAATATGATAGAACCAGGTCAAAGGGTATGCATGCTACACCAATAACACATACGTGTTATATTTCCTTGCCTATTTGGTTGCCTGCATAGATGATAATTCTCCATTTCTGCCTTCACTGTACTTTTCCTATTTTATCTTTTAATTTTCTTCTCCATGCAAATCTTCTGAGCTTCTATTCTTGTTCTGATTATGCGGATTTCTAATTCAGGAAATGAACTTGTTCCCAAAACATTTTGTCAACCTTCCAGATGTTGCCTTTAAAAATTTCTGGATCACGCTGAATTTAGAGAAATTCAAATGTCACAAGTGCTTGGAGCCTCACTCATGTGAATGTCACAAAAACTCTTGGCTCCACTTGTGCAAGCATTGCAGGTGCTTTTGGCCCAACTTGTGTGACCAATGGGTGCTCACGCAAATGCCTGGCCCTCCTACAAAACCACCTGCTCTTTACCCCCTCTCCGAGTCACCAACCTGGAAAAGTTGGGAAACTCTGTTCCATACTTCAAAGCAAGGTATTTAGCATTTTCCCCCTCAAAATTCGTTTAGAAAGTTATTACCTCTTCATTTCTCCAGCGATTGAACATGTATGTATAAGAACTAGGGTATCCTACAAATTTCCCTTTGAAAAAAGCTACATAGAAGCATGAAGAGTAGTAGTTGACAAACTGAAAAAGGAACATCTTCATAGTAAGTCTGTTTTCATACTCATAGTGGGTTCTTGGTATTTCTGCAAGATAAAATAAACAAGGATTTAATTCTCTTTAGGGAATCAAAAGTTATGAAGCCTCAGGAATATGCCAATATTACAAAGTTTACTTCTCTAAGAGAGCATTGGTAGAGCTATGAATCTACTTAAGTCATCATGTATGAGTTGGTTGACCGTATAACTTTTCTTAATGAATAAAATAAATTATCTTTTGCCCACAGTGTGTGTACAGAACAAGGAAACAAAGTTGCTATCATTCCTAATTGCTTTAACTAGCACAGAATCAATTCTTGGAAGTAAATACTTGTTATCATGTTTCTTTTATACACAATATAAATATAAATAGAGATCTCATTTATTTAAACAAAATAAGAGACACATCCCATTAAGAACTTCCTGGCCTTTTGTCAAGAGGCAGTTATTGTAATCATGAGAAAACAGAAGCAATTTTGCTCAAGTAACTTCCTGAGAGCTCCCCTTGCAATCAGATAGAATTATGATTAACATTGTTGACCCCACAGCTCTTAGGAAGGTACAAGTTAAGAATTAGCGATCACACAGCTGGAAAGCTAGTCAGATAGTCTAAGAGCAAAGCCAAAAGGGATAAAATATCTGTTAGGAATATAATCTAATGGTTGGGTTGGCAATATATAAATCATGTAACAATGCTATACCTCTTTCTTTAAACCATACAGCAAAATGTGATTGGTTGCTGTTTTCCTCAATCGGCCATAAGAGGGAGCCAGAATGACTGTTAGCTTTCATTGTTAGATGCTGGACTGATCTGAGTGTTGTGGAAGCTGACTGTTAGAAAGTGCCTATTGTAAGTGAGCTATTGTAAGTTTTGAAACTGCTAGCAAACTTTGAGTACCAGATTGTTTGCATGATTATAGACTATGTTATTTGGATTATCCCTTAACTGAAAGACATTG